AATTAAAGATTGATAGTCTTTTGTAGTTTGTTGTTTGTAGATGTTGTCTGTCTAGAATATTGTTTACTGTATAATTAAAACTTTTATTACAATAAATTGTATTTGTCTTTTTCTTTTTAAGACTGTTTTTACAATTTTTTACTAAATATTTTTTCCTACTACTTTGTTATTTAGTAGCATATAAACTGCAATCACTACTAATTTCAATTGTTTAAAATATAGTATAATTTCTATCATATATTTACTTGTTTTCTTGACAGCACCTATGTATTTTTTCTATTGTTCATTGACTATAATTCTAACACCTAATCTTTTCTTCTTATCCTCTGCTGCACTTGTTCAAAAATCTATATATCTTTTGTTTGCTGCATATGTTAGGAATTTTCCTTCTCTTTCTGTAAGATTCGTTTCCATAATTCCTATTATTGAGATTTCTTCTTCTATCTAGTTAAGCAGATTTTTCAGTTTTCAACCTTTGGTTTTGAGTCCATTAATATTATGATATACCATCTTTATTTCCTTTTTTCACTCTTTCTATTTTTCTTTTAAAGGTTTTCATTTTGTCATTATACTTTCTATTTTTTTCTTTTTTCTGTTCAACTCTTTATTTTCTTGACAAGAAGACTTTATTTCTCTTCTTTTTTCAAACACCTCTTTTTTTTCCTATAAAGAATTTTCTATCTTCTTATTTAACTTTATTGGTTCAACTATTGTGCTTTTAGGAGTAGTTAGGTTGATCTATCACATTTCTTTTCACTTTCTTCTCTAATGTTTCTAATTTTTCTAGTATTTGGCCTAGAATATTTTCAATATGAGAATTTTCTTTTTGATATTAAGTCTGGGTTACTGTTTTTTTTTTACTCTTTTTTCTTGGTTCTGAGTTTCAGTTGTTAAGCTTTCTTTATCTTTTTCATATTGATGATTTTTGTTGAACTTCTTTTCTTGTTTATTGCTTCTATTATATTCATATTCCTCTATGTCAGAGATTTCACTAATATTATTACTATTAATATGTTTTGTATCTGTGTTTTCTTCTTTATATTTTTGCCAAAAAGTAGATGGTTGTTGAATCTTATCAGCTTTGTCTGTGCTGTTTTCATTTCTTCTATTGATGCAAAAGTAATTGTTACTGATCTTCTTTGATTTTTATTTCTGTTGAATGGTATATATACTGATATTGATTCTCTTTTTTTTAGGCATTGTAATAGTAATACTTTTGATGCATTACCTGAAAGCTCTGTTAATCTTATTGTAAATTGACTTTGCATATTATGTTGATTATAATCTTCTTTCCCTAATGTTACTCTTGCTAGTCTATATACTCTTATTGATAGTGATTATGGAATCTTTTTTTTCTCTAATTCTTTTGTTTTAATGACTATTAATGCTTTGTATTTAGATCTTTTAATATATTCTATCTGAGCTTCTTTGATGTTTTTATATATATGTTTTACTTCTTCTGTATTAATACTTGCTAGAAGATCCCATATCATTATATATAATACTGCTTCTAAACACTTTTTTGTTAAGTGGTCTGCTTCTTCATAGTCCACTTCTTTTTGTCTAGTATAATTTTTTGACTTTCTTTCTTTGTCTTTATATGCTTGCTAATGCTGTTTTCTTTCTAGTCTTTTTGGTTCTTTTGAAATAATTTTGAGTTATTCATCATCTTTTTTTTTAATTCTTTCTGTTGCTGTATTTCTACTAAACTTATAATCAAAATCAATTTCTGTTCAACTATTACTTTTCTTAAAAACTTCTTGGATTGATTTGATGTGATGGTTTTCTTAAAAGATCTATTAGATATATTTCAATTTTTCTTTTTTGTTTTCTTCTAGTAATATATATGTTGGAATATTTGCTTTAAATGATTTATTTTTGTTATATATATAGTTTTTCAGTGACTATTGACTATTCTCAATTGTGTCTGTGAGTGTTGGTGTTTTTTAATTCTTTTCCTTTACTTTTAGCTCTATCATTTTTTTATCTATATCTTCGATATTTTTTTTTAAGTTGTATATTCTGTTATCTATTAATGTTTCTTGGTTTTCTTCAGTTTGTTTTTCTTTAACATTAGTCTTTTCTTTTGTTATACTAGCTGATGACATTTCTGAAACTGTATTTTGAGAATTTCTAGGACTTGATTGTTGTATAATTAAGATACTCAGTTCTTTCATTTATCTTATAACTCTCTTTAGGTCTTGGTTTATCTCTTCTTTTTTATTTGTTTGTTCTTGGTTTCTTTTTTCTTTTTCTGACACAGCTATTTCTTTCTTTTTTATTTCTTTAACCTTTCTGGTTTTCTTTATTTTTGTTTTTTTTTTAATTGTTTCTTCTTCATTAAAATTCATTTGAGGGTTAAAAGAGACTAGGTTTATATCTATTGCTAATAGTTTTATTGCTTATTCTTCAATAATATTATGTAACACTGTGCACACTTTAGCTATTCTAAGCTCTTCAAGAATTTGATTATAAAGAAATAAATTCTTTAGTGTAATATTTTTTGAATTGTAGACTGCTAAATCTTTTGTTATATATTCTAAGTTATCTGAATTTTTAATATATTTTAATAAGATCTTATCTAGTATCTTGCTATTTATATATTTATAGTTTCTATCTTCAAACTCTCTGATATGTTGAATTAAATCTGTATCTAATGGCAATTCTATTCTTATTTGTATTTCTATTTCAAGATCTTTTTGTTGTTTATCCATCTACTTAGTGCTTATGCTTGTATTTATTTATATTTTCTAATATGGTTATTTGTTATTTAATATGATATACTGTTATTTGTTGTTGTTTATATTGATAGCTGATTATATGTTCTGTTGTTGTTTTCTAGATCTAGTATACTTTTGGATTTTCCCAAAAAATTTTTAAAAAAATTTTTAAAATCAAAAAAAGTTTGTTTTTCAAAATTTTACTTATGTTGTTACTAAGACAAAGTATTTGTATTTTGTATGCTGAGTTTTTTTTTTTAGAGATCTAAATAAAATTTGTTAAACCAGTTTTGTATTTTCTTAATGTATTTACTTTAGCTATGTTTTGAAAAAAGAGATCAGTATTTTTTTCTTTATTCAAATATTCTTTGAGTTTTAAAATTTTATATTAATATAAAAAATGTCACTATTTTGAAATGTTGTAGTTTATGTCTTTAAAAAACTTATTCAATTATTTTTAATAACCTTTTAGTATAATATTAATAGTAAAACAACTTCAGAAGAAATGTATTTATTAAATATATAATAGATAAGTCTCCAACTCTGAAAGAACTCAACAGAAAAAGACTAAATATATATACAATAGTGAAATACCAAGTATACTAAGATAAAGTAAAAGAAACATAAATATACTTGGCAACATGCAAGGAGCAAAGAAGTCTCTGAAAGAGAATTCAAAAAGTAACTATTGCAACAGCATATAAGAAATTAAAAGAAGAAGAAAAAACCCAGATTTCTCTACATATATTATTTATAATATTCTTTGGAAAAACAGAAATGAAAGAAATCAAAATGAGAGAAGCATTAATAAAAAACCTAATTCTAAAAGAAACATAAGACAAACTGATGCAGCTCTTAAATTCAAAATCAAAACAGCAATTTGTAAATGCAGTGGCAATAACAACCTGGAATATATTTTATGAACAAGTATGAAGAATATGTTGTGAAAAAATTATTAAATGGAAAGGAAAAATTGGAATAATAGGTAAAATTAAAAGAAAGAAAGGTGAAAAGCTAAAGGAATTAAGAAAATAAGGAAAGACAAATCAAGAAAAAATAGAAGGAAAGAAAGAAGAAATAAGAGAAAAAGAAAAACAAGTTGAAAAGAAAGCAATGAAAACAATTTTAGGATTTGTCATGAAAGAAAAAAGACCTTTCCATTATGAACTTTAAATAATCAGACAAGTAGCTTATTTTTATTCAAAGTAATGCAACAGGTTACACTTAAGTATCAGCAAGGTAACCAGGTAATACTAGACTTAGATATTAAAGATATTTATGTAATTACAAATGTAATTCTAAAAGCTTAATAAAGTATTAACATGACTGCTTATATGTCAAAAAAAAAAAATATTATTAATAGTATGTATATAGATCTCTATTTCTTTAATCTCATAAAGTTGACTTTTAAACAACATATTACAACTATTAGTGTCGCTTATTTGTACTCCTATATATTGAAAATTTAAAGCTTTATTTTTAATATCTTCGTTAAATAATAAAAAAATACAGTAGTAAAGAAGTACAGAACTACGCGATTTCACAAGAAATAATGTGTTTATTACCTCATTACTATTTTTCTAAGTTAAAAAACTGTTTCTAAGTAAAGTATACCTAGGCAAGCTAAATCCCAGAGATACCCAAGACACTTAAAGTTTCGTTTGTAAAATGTCTTTTGTATTATTATGAACGACGGTTACATTCCTTTAAAGAAAAATTTACTATATTGAGCGTAAAAGTACTCTAAACTGTATAAATTCAACTGTATAAAATTAACCAATCACAAAAAAGTTACTCTATAGCCCTAGAGGCCTGCATTGGGTCCCGCAGCCCGGGCCGGGCTTGAAACAAAATTTTACAACTGTGGGCCTGGCCTAACGCGCAAAATTTATTATTAAACTTTGAAAATTTTTAGCCTGAAAAAAAATGAACTGAAAAAAAAAAGTTATTTAAGGTCTAAATCTAGAGTTTTTGTTTTTAAAAACTGGTTCTACAATTCTGATCCTAACAACTTTACCATCCCTATTTTTTAATTCAGCATCCATTATTCTGTCTTTTAGAGAATATTTTCAAAAACAGAATTCGGTCTATGTTATATATATTATGTAATCGATAAATTCATGTTGATTAAGATACACAGCATATTATTTTGCAATTAATAACAATAGACAAAATTGAAAAAACGACGCGTTATATTTGACCATTATTTAACACGCTGGTTTATTACTTTCAATAATACGTTGTTTTTGCTCATGCAAAGTACACCTTATCATACACAAACTAAATAAAACCGGGATCACCTTCAGTCAACATTTCATAGATCTCTGCATATTTTTCCGAAATTTTTTGAACAATATTTTCAGGTATCCGAATGCTGGTTTTTTTATCAAATCCAATGCTTAATAAGTAGTCACGTAAATATTGTTTGTCAAGACTGTTTTAAATTTGAATGATTAGATTTCTATTAGTTTTGTATGTATTACAAAGATGTTTGTTAAAATGATTTACCTATCTTGTTTTTCACCAACTTTATAATTCGAGGAAAGCCAAAATCGGGATGAGTCTTTTATATGAGTTAAAAGGGTAAAATAATTAAACAATTAAGTAGTTAAAAAATATCATAAGGCACTAACTGAATAAAGCGCAGAATCAATGATCTATACCTGGCGTTAAAACTTCGTCCGCAAGAAACAAATTTCCATCAGAATCAGTACCGAATTCGAATTTCGTATCTGCTATAATTATCCCTTTATCGCATGCGTATTTCCTAGCCTATTGGCATTACTTTGTTAGTGAATAGCATGATTCAGTCTAGCTTAAACTATGAATATGATATAAACCTTTGAATACAATTTCACAGAAGTTTCTGCTATATCATGTGCAAACTTCTCTCCAACAATTTCGACCACTTTTTTAATAAAATTGAAGTAAAATAATGGTTAACAAAAATTATTATTCATAACTAGTGCATGATGGGTCCCATATAGAGATTTGCCTCTCGCGCGAAATGCTGATGTCATTCAATTGATTCTCACGCGAGATAATATAAATGACATCAGCATTTCGCGCGAGAGGCACATCTCTAGTCCCATACCCAAGCCTAGTATTCCGATCCTATCTTTAACAAGTCATCAGGGTGGAATCCGGATGAAAATCCGCATCCGATTACATATAAAACTAGTTTTTTGGCACATCCTTACGTCCATTATTTAAATTCTTTGAACGTTGATTGGCCAATAATCACATTTAAATGACATAAATTAAAAAATCAAAAGAAAGTTATCCTAAGGATTCCAATTCGAGTAAAGTTCTCTGATCTGATATCCGAATTTATTCGGGTTTTTAGTTGTTATCACAAATTCTGGGACAAATTAAAATTTTACCCGTAGCCGAAATCTTTTCGGTTTGTCCAACTTTCCGTAAATTACATCGCTGTCTCCGGACTGAGGTTTGAAGATAGCAATGTAATTTCTGGATTGTTAAGTAATTTACAGGACGAATACCGAAAAGATTTTGGGTAACAGCAAATGTTTAATTTGTCCCAGAATTTGAGAACTGCTGAATGATCAATCCGGATTGGTCAGATATAGGATCGGAATACTACCCAAACCTTCTAGGCTTAGGTTATAATACTAGGCAGTTTGATTATGAAAATTTTTTTACCTAAATCCCATAAATCCTAACTAAAACCCAATGCCGAAATCCAAAACTGATTCGAAATCTCAAACTGATTCAACAATCCAAAATCAACGCCCGACATTCTTATACTAATAACTAAATCCTTAAATTAAGACATGTATAAAAGTTTTTATATATGAGTACGGCTAAGGGAAAACCTCGTTCTTGTTTTTTTGCTAAACTCAGCCATGATCCGAAACATATGTATCACATATGCTTTGGATCACGGCTGAGTTCAGCAAAAAAACAAGAACGAGGTTTCCCTTAGCCGCATTCATATGCTAACTTATAATACATATTTAGTATTTTAATATTGGGTTGGGATTTCAGCATTAGTTTTGGATTTTGGCATCAGTTTGGGATTTCGGAACTGGGTTTTGAGACTTATGACCGAAACCTGAACATTTCAGGCTGAGAAAATGGATCATTTTTTAAGAAAATCACTGTTTGAAAGCAAGTGCCTACCAATGATTTTCCTAGCAAATGATCCAAATACGTTTTGGGACCAACTCTAAAATTGCAACAATTATTCTTCACAAATAATTATATAACGAATGGTGACTTGTCAAACTTACCTTTATCAGGATGAATATTTTCATCTAAAGATATTCCATTAATCGATACGTCGGAAAACATATATATTAGTCATAAAATCATAAACACATTCACTTCATTTTAATACAACACAATTACGCAATTACCGTGACTGCCGATTTCCGCTTTCGTACTAGGTGTATAGAAAGGCTTCTCAAAACTCTGACTCTCCAATAATCCATCAGGTAATGGAATATCGCACATGCTTTTTTTCTTTTTATATTCTGACCAAGCCGATCCTATCGAATAGCATTCATTTATTAGATGCTTGCAAAACAAGATTTGAAAAAAAGTATGCTGTACGAATTTAATCTATCAACTTACCAGTGATGTATCCGCGCACAATAGCTTCAATTGGAAAGACCTTTAGATCCTTTACCAACAAACATCGATTTTCGAGTTGATCTCGATATTTTTGCACGCTTGCTGGCATTTTATTGAAATCACTGGTAATTAAATGATTAGGGAGTATATCGCTAAGGTAATTAAACCAGAAGACACTGATTTGGGTAAGAATTTTTCCTTTCCCCGGGATGCCCTTTGAGATATAACATGAATCGACAAAAATAAAGAGATTGGGACTTTTAATAACATAATTTAAAGCACGAAATTAGTGGTTTGAGAACAAACTAATTTTTAAGGTCTTAAGTAATCTAATTTTAGACGGGACGAACTTAGGGATAAACAGGTAAGGAATATTTCCTTAAAAACATTATAGTCTACAGAAACTTGCATTTTTCATGATAACATCAAATGCACTTATTCGGTCAGTAGCGACGAACAGCAATGTTGCATCATCGATACGGTATAAGTCTCTAACTTTACCACGAGTTAGTAGGTCCAAGTCAGGACATATGCTTTCAAGTAATGCCATATTTTTGTGGAATCTGATTTCAAGATCATCTATTTCTGTATTTATCGTTATCGTTATGCATACTTCTATATTTGGAAAATAACTGCTTTATCAATTTCGTGTCATTTTTTGATTAAACCTGTAAAAAAATGTTGCTTGCGAAAGCATCACCATTTCTTTCCCGAACACTCGGTAAAACCTTCATTCGTTTTTCTCATAGCACTACACGGATAAAGGCTTATAATCAAATAAAGTATTGCTCTCCTTTATCGCTTCCATTATTTCGGTCAAGAATGATTTACACTGAATGTGGCAGCAATCCTCGTCCGGCTTCCCCGGCAAATGATTTAATCGAACCACTTTTGCCATATAGTGTTTCTAATAATAGTAGTACCATTACCTTAGGTACCAAAAAATACAGTACAAATACCTCTACGACAACTGAAGAATTAGAACGCTGGAGTTGGAAATGGTGGAAAGAGTGGACTATTATTTTTATTGTTTTTGGAATTACAGGGTCGACAACTGTTAGAATTGTTAGGCCTGTGGTGACCAATGTATTGGGAATTGACGGTAAGAAATTTTTATTATTCAATTAAGACCGATTGACTAATGAGTTAACATTCTTAATATCGTCGATTTAATTATAGGAGGCTTTATAGATGGGCCGTGGACATATAGGATCTCGTATCTTTGCATTACCATCCCGTTATATTCAATTATTCTTCTTATCGTAGGAACTCTTTTTGGACGACACGCTTATTTCAAAAAGATTGTTCTTAGGATGTATGGAAGATTCATTCCTAGCAGATTAATTAAGCGTATTCGTGGCAATCGTAATGATGGTAGTAATAAAGTTTAATAACAACTAGGGGTTAGGAATTGGTTTAGTCAACTAAAAAATCTATATAGTAAACTGCTATGTATAGTCGATTAGTTAGTCGACTAATCCGATTCCAATGCCTAATCACAACATAGTGGCTTAAATAAATATTTGGTTATGAGATTCAGATATGACTTAAATAGTAATTCTAACTCTTCAATTGTTACTACCTTTACTAGAGATACCGTATCGTCATGAAATAACGCCCAGTGGTTTTTATTCGCGACGATACAGTACATGGTTCCAATAAAGTTAGCTGGCGTTAGTTATAATGCTGGTTGATTTAGGTTGTTCTCAAGCAGCTCCCTCAATGAGATTTGCTAGTGATCGAGATGTTGCTCAATCATTTCGATAAATCGAAATGATCTTTATAATGATTTTGTCGGAAATGCATTATACAAAATGCGGATTTTAAATTTTAGTCAATCAGAGTAACTCTGAAAAAAAGATGGTTTTTAGATCCAGGTTTTTTTGATCGAAATGATCCATTTTTTCAACCAATCAGATCATCTTATTTACCATAGAGATGCAGACATATTGTCGTAATTATGTCGTAACCTAATTATCTCTATAAAAAATCTTTTTTAAAGTAGGTCGTAATTAATTACGACAATATGCCTGCATCTATATTGAGAACAACCTTAGGGACAAAATAACGGATTCCACATCACGCGACGCGATAATTAAGTTCCAGGATTTTGACTTTCGGGATTTGACCTAGATTAGTTAGGGTTACGTTCTTTCGGGAATATGAATCAAATGTACTATATACTTCATCTATTTTTTATCATTGACCAATTAATTAATTTGTACAGTTGATATTGTCTAATTGCATAATATTTAAAAGGTGAGATTTCTGAACTTTATTTGTTAATTTGTTTAAAATTAGTAATTTAGTTTTAGTTTATTTATTTTTAAATTTAGTAATCATATTGTTTTTTTTATAATTGTTTTTTATCTAGTAATGGATTTCTTAATTTTTTTATTGTTTTTGTTTTGTTATTTATTCTATTAAATTTTTCTATGTTTTGATTTACAAAACCTTTTTTTTTTTTTTTATTAATTTTTTTGTTAAAAAATTTTTCTTGTTAATAAATTTATTTTTTTATTTTTTGTTCTTTATTAAGATGTGTATATTTTTGAATTGTGAGTTTTATTTTAATTGATGTTAAGACACTTTGGAATAAAACTGGTTGTTTATTTAGGTATGTTAAATAAGCTGTTATTTGTTTAATTTTGATAGACAATTTTTTTTTTGATATATTTTTTTTGTATTAAAGCTTTTGTCTTTGTAAAGTAATTTTTATTTAAGTATTTGTTAGACATAGGTGCTTTTAGAGGTTCTTTTATATTGAAGAGTAAAACTAGTTACATGTGTATTTTTGGTGTCTAATTTAAGTAGTTTATCTAATATATTACTATATAGATTCTATATAGGGTTAGCATGAACTGGTCAATAGTCAAGCTTGACCAGACTAGTTTGACCAATTTGACTAATTGGTCAAAGGGTTTAGTATTGATCAAATTGATCAAATTGGTCAAAGAATATATAAAGTATATAAATATATTTGTTTGTTTATTTATTTGTATATTAAAATTATTTATTTAATAGATTAGACCATTTGACTAATTTGATTAGACCATTTGACCAATTTGGCCAGACCAGTTTGATCAACAAATTTTTGATTGATTAATGATTTGACCAAGCCTGATTTTATACTAAATGTTATATTTGCAAACTAATTATAAACTTTATCTATTTAAATTCTTTATATATATAATTCTTTTGTATTATATATGAAAATATAGTTTTTAATTCTTATTAATACCTTAGGATGGGGTGTGGCAACTTAGTGAAGTGGTCAGGTTGTCAATCCTCCAAGTGGTAGGTTGGGTGTTCAAATCCTATCGATGGCGAAAATTTGGATAATCACCTATGTAATATTTATATTATGGCAACTGTTACTAATGATTGAGTTAGAATACCTGTAATGACAGTCGCACCAGTATGACTGGCAGGTCATGGGGCATTCATGTAACAGGTCACATGACATTGTCCTTTGGAACAAGGTTGTGGTTACACGAAAGAATGCAAACCAGCAATAGGCGGTGCAAACACTAGATAAGTCCTTGTAGCTGTGTAAATCCGTTGAAATTGGATAACAAGAAGTCTATTTGGGAAGACCCGAGTAGAGAGGTAGCTGGATCTTCGATGGCCCTACTGTAAAGGCTAGCCCAGGGAAATGGATACCAAGGTCATAGTATCTGGTCATAGTAGCCGGACGGGCAAGAACCCCTGAGTTGGGTGGCTTGGAGGTACCACCAACTAGGCTGCCAGAATGAACCGGAGGAAAAGGATATTGGGCTGACCTGATATACCGATGGACTGGTCATAGTCCTATATAGGCTATCTGAATTGGAAGTTTGATAAAAAGGCTGGACAAAAGGCAGGAGTATACTAAAGTACCAGGGTTATGCTATAAAGTAGATGCTGGGGTCTAAGTGAACTTTACAAGGACATAGCGGTTTAATGGTTAGCCCTGACCACAAGTGTTGGTTCTGCCATAGCGATACCTAGGTCAGCTGTAAAAATGGGTACAG